ATTCACTGTAGGTCTAGCTTCCGTGAAAAGAGAAAGAGATTTAATATTACAAACACCATCATTTTATAAATAATACAATATTTCTGGAGCCATCTTATCATTTGCAAAGTAGTCCCTGTGTTTATTTGAGAAAACTCATGTTACTGCCATCTGTCTAACGACAAGAAATCGCAAAATAGCGACGGACTACGGAGAACGAACACAACTTATTTCATTATCAATTGACCCTTGATGGGAGTAGCTGAATGAGCCAGTTACATCAAAAGTCCAAACACAATAGCAGCCATATTTGTCAAGCATCTATTGTTTATTAATATATGGTGACGTACAATGCAGACTTATGTTTTCACTGTAATCAGTAAAGATATAAGCATGCTTTCCTCAAAATAGATGATAAAAAAGAAAGAAAATGACTGAATGCAGTGAGTTGTTTGCGGAATCTTCCATAGAGACATATACACAGACATTGAAAGGCATAGACAAAAGACTTAGACATATACAGGCCTATGCAATAGCGAGCAAACGAGAGGTTTCAATTAGCCAAAAAATCAGTTTGCTTAAATTTTATTGAGAAGCTATGAGGAAGAGAAGTATCAAGTGGCTCATAAATTTTAGCATGTTTCATTTTTAGTATCACGATGCATTCAGCTATATGCTCTCATCCAATGCCGGTGCACCCAGATATGACAAAATGCATCACAGTCTTAAATGACTACAGCTACTTCTCTAAACATGTATGTTGCCGAATACTTGCAACGTCATTGTAAGCACTATATATATATATATATATATATATATGGAAAAGGTTATAATTGTTCCCCACACACACACACACACACACACACACATATATATATATATATATATATATATATATATATATATATGTATGTATGTATGTATTTATATATGGAAAAGGTTATAACTTTTCCAACGTGAGAAAAATGTATATTATAAATTCTGTGTATAATGTATATTTTTATTACCTACATAAAATTTTGTTATCCACATATAATGTATATTTTATTACACACACACACACACACACACACATATATATATATATATATGTATGTGTGTGTGTGTGTGTGTGTGTGTGTGTGTGTGTGCCTGCGTGTGTGCCTGCGTGAGTGTGTCTGTGTGTAGGTCATAATCCGAATAATCCATGTGAATCCTATTAATATGACTGATCCTCGAAAAGAGCTCAATGTATTTATTATAACAGAGCATATAAAATAAATAAAAAGACAAACTCGTTCAGAAAATGTTTATTTCGATTCACTCATCACCTTTCTCTGATCCTTTACACTCTAGATCCTCAACCTAATATTGAAAAGCAATGTAAACTTATGTCTAGACATTTGCGATGCTCCCCATTTTTTTCTTTTTTCTGACCTCTTTTTTCTTTTTCTTTTTCTTTCTTTCTCCTTCTCTTTCTTCATCGTCTGTTTTTTACCCTTTAAATGCTTACATTTTAAGCTCTTATCTCATTTCATAGCACCTCTGATCCACAAAAAATCTGTGAGTCGAAATGTCCATTTTCTGAATGTAGTAGTCTTGGATTTTTAATCTCTCTCTCTCTCTCTCTCTCTATATATATATATATATATATATATATATATATATTCTAAAGAAAGGAGTTGTCCGTAGAAGTAGCAGAACTACTAAGGGGATAAAGCCTCTAAGTTTCCGGGAGATGTGGTGATATGCAAATTATTTTGAATATACGTGGGAAGGTTTCTATACTTGGGAGGGAGTTATCTTTCCTTTACTACTCTGCGTATTGTGAGAACTTTACACGACACAACAGATAATAAAGATAAGAAAGATGTGGAGGGCCACCAGGAAGTAATAGTGACTCCCTTTTAGCTTTTAACACAACTGGATTCGCACCAGGATACGTGCCAGCGAACGAATGAAATAGTCGCAGAGTTTAAGAATGGTTCCAATCTAAAATAACTGACAGTAAAAAAAGAAAAATACTTATTTTCTTTTCTTAATATTCACCATTTCTTTCTAATATAACTGCCAAAGGTTCGTTTTTTTTCTTCTAAATTTAATTTAGAAGCAAGATGTCTTCCAGTTCTGAGAAAGAAAAAAAAAAAAAAAAGAAGATTGATGAAAATGTTTAATAAACGCTGCCTCATTCAAATGTGTTACTTCTCTGGGGTAAACTGTTTTTCAAAACTTGAGCAAAATAAGATTTCTTTGTGTTGTGTTCGGGCAGTCCTCTACCTTTGTCAGAGCATCATGCAAATTTCACTGCAGCGAAATACTCTGCAATGAGATGGAAAGCAAATGTAGAAGAAAAAATAATACAGGAAAAAATAATAACGGCTAATAATAAAAAGTAAATACAACAGGAGGCATATCGGGGAAAATTATATTAAAAAATCGGTTCCATTGAACGAGATGTGCAAAAAAAAAAAATCAATGTTGCGTTAGAAGAGAAACACTGGGGCGTTTGCAAAAATACTGTAAACAGACATTTTATGAAAAAGAAATAATATTTACCACCTGTTAAGTGATGGGGTTAAAGCGAAATAAACAAATCCAATTCGCATATTCATTTTCCCCCATTTTTTTTTCTTCCTTCTTAAAAATATAAACCTAATGCTTGGTTAAAATATTTTCGTCTCCACAAGAAATATTCTGAATTGTAAACAAACAAATAGACTAACAAAAAAAGTCTTCGGTTTTATCGTTATATATTCACTCTTTAGGTAGGATGGGCCGACATTTTGACGAGATTGTTCATAGGAATCACTGATACTAATATCAACATATTCTTTTGAAAAAAAAAGCTCTTGGTTTGAAAATATTCTATTTTTAGATATAGGGTTAGATACGAAGTGTTTTAGTAGCATTTAAATGTATTTCATCTTCAGCATTATAATCATAATCTTCAATTTCCACCACATTGTCGTATCCTGTTGGCATTTACACATTAAAAAAAAAGAACTGAAAGGAGAAGAAGCTTAACCCTCAAGGACCAGCGATTGTTGGAAAACTGATTCAGAATATAAAAAGGACTCAAACCTCGAAAAGCGACATTTTCAGACCGAGATGATTAGGATAAAATAATGTAAAAAATGTACATCTCGAACTTTTTAATTCATGGGATTTTTTGAGTAGGTTTCCTGTGAATATGTGGTATTTTGTTAAATGATGTTTCGGGTGAAAATGTATGTGTTCTTATGGTAAATGAGTCAGTTGTAAGAATGAATTAGTCGTGAATCAAATTAGCTAGGTTTACGATAGTCTGTGATAGTCTAATTTGCATATCACCACATCTCCCGGAAATTTAGAGGCTTTATCCCCTAAGTAGTTCTGCTACTTCTACGAACACCTCCAGGAGATCTACCGCTTGTTTCATGTTGATTTCCACGATTCCTCTTTATGGGGATCTTGGTCATACCGGATTTTATTCATTTGAAACTTCCTCGTGTTTCACATTATCACTGAACACACTCATTCTTTCCTCCCCTTCACTCTCAAATTCTTGGTGATCACCCTGATCCCTCTCTTCTGCGCAAGGCTCTTCCTCTAATTCAATATGTTTTTACACTTCCCATACGACTTTTGCTAAATACATATATTTTCATGTTAAATAAAGATTAGACTTGATCAGCACCTGACCAGCTCCCTTCAAATGTCTCGGTTGAGTGTCAATGTCTTAAATGATGTGAATGATCTTCGAATCTACTGAGTGATATTACCAGCCCATTTTTCCACTTGCTGCATCGTTTTCTTTTGTCATGTAAAATGAGTGAAAATATGTTTGGCTTTTATGACGTTCCCATGACATTACTATTTTCTGTTATTAACGTTGGATATAAGGTCTTATTTCTTGCCTGCTGGGGGCTAGTATTGCGTTATTTGGGATGAGGTCTATGTTGAAGATTCCTAGAATTACTGTGCAATTTATCATTTCTAATGCTTGAATTTCTCAATTTAATTCTGATCTTAATGCCCAAGTTTCGTAAGGCACACAAAAATAGATTGAGTAAGCCAACTCACATAAGAGCCTCATTTTGATTTCAGGCATATATACTTGGCATTTCCAGATGTTTTTTTTCTTCTTTTGTTTCACGAATTTGACATTGTGATACTCTTGAAATGTGTGTTTTCTTCGTAGAAATCCTTTTCTCATTGTTCATTTCATACCTTGAGGGTGAAGATACAAAGTTCCTCTTTGCCAACTAGACCGTCTATATCGTCTGCAAAGCAAAGTTTTTTGATGATGCGTTTAAATGTATTTAAGGAAATTATTAATTAATTGATTGCTTCATTTTCTACGGTTTATCGGTCCTATGCAGATTATGTAACGCCAGATAATATTTTTCGATTATAAAATATTCTTTTGGAGATAATAATGATTTAGTGAAACAAATCTTACTAATTAACCCATAGCTGGGAGAGAAGATTTGAAGTCATACCTTTCCCAAGGTTATTTGCGCTTAAGTGAACATAACTATCCTAATGGGAATTGAAACTCATTTCTTTGATTAATAATTCTGAAACATAATCAAGTACACCACCCGCGCAGTTCTTGGTATTCCCAAGCGGTCACCCATATACGTATTCTCGTTGCTTAACTTCGGTGATAGTAAGGGAACCTGTGTTTCAAAGTGATCTGGTTGTAAGACTAATAGAAGAATGAAAAATTGAATAAAAATAAGACTAATAACAGCATAGAAAAAATAGAAGAAAAAAGACTATATTCTAACAAAAAAATTGATTAACCGATTTTTTACGGATTATCAACCTTTTTCATTATTTTTAAAGTAAGAAAATATTTTTTGATTGTGATGATTTACTAATACACGTCCTACTAATAAACCCATAGATTCGGAGGAGAAAAGGTTGATTTATACTTTTATGCCTTTTCCAATGGTATTTGCACGTAAATGAATATAATAAACCCTGCTAGAAATGGAACTCGGCTCTCCGATTTCCAATTCTGAGCAGTTATCCATTATATCAACAACACATCCAAGCTTACAGCACCTGGTATTCCCAGGCGGTCAGCCATCTAGGTAATGACCAGTCCCTATTTTGCTTAACTTTGTTGATCTGACGAGAATCCGTGTTTCAACGTGAGATAAACCTAACAAAAGAATGAACAATTGAATAAAAATAATATTAAGGATATTTCCAAAGACAAAACGAACGAGTGACAGATATCCAGTTGGTCATGGATACGCAGAGGGAACCTGAAAAGTTTCGCTTTAAATAGCGGTAAAAACAGGTGCCAAAAATAGCAACGATATATCATCAGTGATCAAACAAAAAAAGCAGTGACGGTAGAGAGTTCCTGAATGATGAAGTAAAAAAGGAAATATGAACTTTAACTTAAGAGAATATGTAGGATAGATAAATAAATTAATTATCATGAGAACGAAATATTGAATATTTGCACTCATTTATGCACACTATTTACATTATTCGGACTATTGTCCTCATATTTGTCAACATATTTTTTACAACGTTTCGGCCGTTGTACGCTCCAGCCTTCTTCAGGTGGTAGGAATGTCGAACTTTTAATTCGCTGACTGGGGTAGACTGTTCTAGTTCCATGGGCCATGTTTAATGGATGTCAGTTATCAGTTATCGCCTGTTGATTACCCTTCAAGTTCTCCACTGCCTTAACCAAGTATTGTCCTTGAGCACAGTGGATAAAGACGTTGGTTAGATGCGGTGACAGGACCCAAAGGGTTTGAGTTCAATACCTCGTTACGGCAAGTTAGAGGACTTGGAGAGGGTAATTAACACGAGATAACTGACAACTGAAATCCATTAAAACATGGCACGTGGAACTGGAACAGTCTACCCCAGGGAACGACATAAAAGTTCGACATTCCAACCAAGAAGAAGGCCGGAGCGTACAATGGCCGAAACGTTGTAATAAATATGGCGACAAAGATAAGGACAATAGTCCGAGTAATGTAAATAGTGTACATAATACCTAATCTCAGAAATATAGACAGATACTGAAAGGCGAAACGTTGTGAAAAATATGGCGACAAAGATGAGGAGAATAGTCCGAATAATGTAAATAGTGTATATAATACCTCATCTCAGAAATATAGACACCCACTTATACAGTTGTAAATCTAAGTAATCATTTCTATATAAAAACCAGAGATTTTTCTGAATTTTATATGAAGAATTATCATTATTATTATATGCCTTTTCTATTTAGAACAACATGCGCTTGTTTATGTTCGCTACATTAGTGCCGCTAACCATTCTGGTATTCTTCATGTTACTCTCGCTGTACTCAGTAATTTGTTGGGCATTTAGAATTTAAAATTCAATACCTAAGTCTGTACATTGATACAATCCAAAGCAGTACACACCCATCCGTTACTAAAAATAGATGTCACATTTAATAAGAAGCGCGTTTTAAGAGAGTCGCAGTTATCTTCCAGCTCGTATTTTCACAGGCGACTTCATCTTGGTCACGTGTCAACAGTAGCTGGCGTTACGTCAACAATTCCATGTTTTAATAGTTTCTTTTTTTAAATATGTTAAAATGCCTAAATACTTTTTTTAAAAGCATTCAACCCCAAGCAAGGCGGGAAGCCACTAGCACGCAAAGGGTTACAGAGAGTTGAAGGATAGGGGATAAATCAAGGCACCTGGAGACGTCCATTGACGTTACATTTGAATAGTTGGTGATCATAGCTATCAGGAAAACAAGAAATGGGGAGGGAGTTCCACAGACGATAAGTGCGAGACATGAAGCTATTGGAGTAGAAGAGACGGCTACATTTAACAGATTCGACAGTGAAAAGGTGAGAGCGAGATGCCAACCTAGTAGAACGCTTAAATTCATTAAGTCTGGGAAGCAGCGAAAGCTGCTCTTCGGAGCAGTTACTGTGAAAGTATTTGTGAAAAAGAAAGAGGGAGGCAACGGTACGTCTGTGAGAGAGCGGCTACAGACGAGATGCCAGATCAAGACCAATTACATTGCATATCCGTCTTTGGATTTTATCAAGGACCTTGATAGAATTAGAAGGGGCTCCAGACCATATATGGCAGCAATACTCCATGCAAGGGCGAATGGTTGATTTGTAGATTTGAAGGATCGATCCGGCGATAAAAATTTCCTGGCACGGCACAGGTAGACAACTTTCCCTGCGGTGGACGAAACTATTGCTAAAATGAATCTCAGATCAGCGGAAAATGTGAGACCGAACAGTAGCAAAGAGGTGCTCTCGTGGAGTTGAGCGTCAGACGTTCTAATAGGAGGCAGGGATGGTTACCTCTAGTGAGTAATAGAGAGCAGTTTTGTTTTTGAGGCGTTAAAGTTAACCAGTCAATTCCTGCCCCAGTCCCCAACCGATTGGAGGTCCTTTTCAAGCGGCCAGTATAGTTTTGTCGGCGACACTAGATTTGTTTTTGAGGCAGGAGTAAATAGTAGTGTCGTCCGCATAGATGCCTACTTGGGAACCTATGACACCAGGAAGATCGTTAATGAAGATAAAGAACAGAGTAGGGCCTAGGGTAGAGCCTTGGGGAACACCTGCTTTCGTGGGATAGGAGCTGGAGGAGAATCCGTTGAGAACGGCCTTCAATATACGGTTCGACAGGAATGATTGTATTAAGTCGAACAATCGACCTGTAATTCCATAGCCCTGAAGCTTGCGAAGAAGGCTGGCATGCCAAACCCTATCAAACGCTTTGGAGATATCAAGAGCCACGGCACGAGCTTCTCCGTTATTATGAAGTGTTTGGCAAACAATTTCAGTTATGGTCGTAAGCACATCAGCTGTAGAACGGGCAAAAGGAAACCATATTGCTTGTCGAAGAGCAGATTATGGGATGTAAGATGCATAACTTCTTCGGCGTTGATTAAGGAACTTATAACGTTTCGTTGTTCTGAAAGATGGTAGCCGATTTTGTTTCGTAGTATATCAAACTGTATGGGTTATTTAATACTGTAATCTAAATGTAATCTATGAAGAAGCTTTAATAAAGTTAAACATGTTAAATTAAGAACTGTTTCCTGCTTGTACGTTTTCGTATAATTTTGTCTGTTTTCTATCCATACTCGATCTGTCATTATACACACACTCAGACACACACACACACACACACACACACACACACATATATATATATATATATATATTTCTTATTAACCTGATGGGTTTGAGAATCCTTACAAATTAATCTTAATTTGTCGGATGAAATGATCATAACCATGGAATCTTTATTCCTATTGAATGCAATATATATATATATATATATATATATATATATATATATATATATATATATATATATATATATATATATATATATGTATGTATGCTGTTTCTGAAATCTTACGTCGACCTGTACCCTCTGAGTGTTGACTTCAATGTTCAGTTTTATATTTACATTCGCTCTATCTCTGATATTCAGCACTTTATTCCATAAATATAGCACACCTTAAAGTTATTTTTCATCATATATATATATATATATATATATATATATATATATATATATATATATATATATATATGTAATTCAATTTCGAAAATACGTAACTTATGAGAAAAAAATTATTTTGTTTTACGAGATGTAACAAGTAGACTTTTTCAAAATTGTCTTATATATTTCTGTTCATTCAGATTCACAGCCAATTTCATATAATTATTAATTAATGACAAAGTGGAAAAAAGTTATTCGTGACGCGATTCGTCCTTTAGGTCTCAGGTTCGTCGGTCTCAAATGATGTTTACGTTTACTTACATGTACAAGTGGAGGCGACAGTAAAGTTTTAAATTAATTAATTTAAAAAAATTACATGTTTGGGTATATAGTCTAGACAATTTCATTTAGTGTCTGTTTCCGTTATTATTGCGTTTTTTTTATTAAGTATCCGACATTGTGATAAATAGAATATCTGCCAAGATAGGTGAAATGTCGTGTGGATGATCTAGCAATTTTCGCATAGATACACTCAGACAGTCACACACACACATACATTCACACACACATATATATGAATATATGAAAATATATTGAATACTTATACGTCACTGAATGTTTCTTTTCCTGACCATGAGACACGTGTTCGAATCTCACTAGTGTCGATTTGTGAGGAAGGTGACTCCTTGATGTTATCTTTCAGCGTGCTGCACTTTTTAAAAGTGCCTAAAAACCACACCACGGCATGACCCAAGCCTTGGGAGTGAAATTGGGTAGATGGAACTCCTTGGGAGCCGTCAATGGTTGTGCTAGCACGAAGTCACACGTCATCGTGACTGAGGCTTTCAGCGAGCTGGCCCTGTTCGGACTGTTGATCACGCTAGATAACGCACTCTCTCCAAAAAATGTAACTAAGCTCCGCTCAGCATAGTTTCAGTATAAACCACAGGCTGGCTCTTTTGGTGTTGAACAAACACAAATGTGCCTGAGTAGGCGGCTACAAAAGGGATTGGCGAGCTACTCTAGTAGACGGACCACTTTCGATAATAATAAGGACGTTTTCAATTATATATGCACAGTTAAAAAACAACGAACATTCTTTGCAAAGTATTTTTTTCTATTTTATTTTGGGATCATTATCTTGACTTTAGATTTTTATCAATGCCTAGATAATTTCGACCGTCTTTAGGCATTATCAAATTGCTTTTCCTGATAAATTAAAGACTATATGTACGTACTGCGTTTTTTTTTTATATGTCAGTTTTATCTTTTTAAAAATACTTCATCTTCTCAGGTCCCGTCGGTGTTTTAAAGTATCATGACTTCATGTATATATAAAGAATGGAATTTTCAGCTTTCGTAAGTCATCAAAAGATTTCTATGTATTTTTTTATTTTCCTCTTCGCCTGCATATCTATATCCATTTGGATAACTCAACGTGGTGTAATGATTAGCAAGCTTGACTTGTTATGATCAGTTACGATTGAGTAACGAGTTTGATTAACTCTGGTTGCTTCAAACTTTTGGTATTGTGCCACATCTAAGCTACATTTAGAAAATCGTTTTTATTAGCAAGCTAGTCTCGCTAGATAAAGTAGATGGCTTACCAGACATGGCAGCAAATAACAGTGACAATTTTCATAGCATCTGGAAAATAACTTTGTACATCAGAA